TCGCGCCTCATCATTCACGCGGTATGTAAATGGTCGATATTGCGCGGTAGTCGAAAACAGCACCTGTCATCAGCCGTCTGTTGTACAAGTCGGTGCTTTTAGCACACGTCGTACCGCAGCACCTGCATCGTGCTCCTGCTTCAATAACGCCGTCCGGTATCGCGTCAGTCGAGAATTGACGTCCGGGCAGCACCTAAAAAGTCATGTGAGTGCTTCAGGGAAATCACGTGCATCGCCATCGCTCCTTCCCGAGGTCCTGTTCCAAGGTTGTCTCACTTTCCTAGCTCAATGACCCTTACTCCTCAACCTCACTTCCGGGGACCCCGTGAGGAAGTCTCAAAAACATCAAGAACGTCAAGGCTCAGTCATTTCTCTCAGTCACGCAATACACTACCCGTCTTCGAAATACATTACTCCACGCTCAAGGTACAGCACAGCCAGTCGTCAAGAGCCAGAAGGCGCCGACAACGGAAGTCACATTGTGATGGTCAATGACCTACTGTAAGCAAGGTACAGAACTGATTCCGGATAGCATCCATTGCTCACTTGGGTGCTTGCGTGATTCGCGTGTACCATGACATGGACATATTGGGCCTTGTGTTATGATGATAGTACAATTGAGCCTCCTTCCAGTTACACATGAGCGACTGCCTCATGGCTGCCAGCAGGGCGAAAGCAATACACCTGGTCCAAGAAAAACGCATCGCTAGGACCTCACCTTCTTCAGTCGATGACAAAGGACGAGGGCTCGTATCAGACTTGAACTACTTGCAGCCTATGTCGATGAGCTGCGTCCGCATGGGCCGTCTATGAAGTCAGTATATCACGCCCATGAATACCCCCACGGACAGTTGTCTACTACCGGATTCGCGTGCGACTTGATGCAGTCTGAAGTTACACTATTCCGAACAAACGTCATCGCGAATGTACTGTTGGTCGATGTCATCTGACAATAGTCAATACTGACTCCTCTCCTTTGGGTCCTGCACGAAGTCATCACTGAATTTACGCCTCCCTTGAGAGAGCATGGTCTGTCATCAATCTTCCAACTGCATCATTCAAGCTATCAAGTCATATATCATACGCCTTATTCGACAACTCATGGGTACTTTTGCTTCTTCCTCGTTAACGTATTGGAGCCGCTATCGATTACTCAGGGTATGAGCTTTGACATCATTGACGTCAATGGCGAGCGGGTAGGCATCCTATCCGTAGAACGACGCAAGACTGATGTCCAGGCTGTGTGATATAGAAGCGCGGGACAAATTCCAGTGCAATCGGCGATTTAACACAACATGATGTCAACAGGCTATGAAGTCGTCGCGACTCAAAGAAGTCCCCTTGCGTGATGAAAAAGGATGAACCATATTGCTAACTTCAAGACATCAAGACGAGCTCAAAAGAGCACTTCGCTTGCTATGTATGCGGTAACGAGATATTGATAGGGCTTACCGATATCAGGCACCGACACTAGCTGCTGAAGCGCCTTTGAAGGCGGCTCTGCTATGTTGGTGTTTCAGGACTGTACGACATGGGTTCGCCAGTGGATCAAGTGCCTCAGAAGCATTTCCCCGCGCTTGAACAAAAGCAATCGCGTCAAGTGCTAATTTTGGCCTGTCTATTCTGGCATGTCTGGAGTAGCGATATGTCTACTTTTTGCGAGGGACCAGAACCGAGAGTGATGCAAGTCTAGCACTTTCTGTTGTGTCGTAGGAAAGCTCGCAGCCTTCTAGAAGAGTAGTGCACGCATGATGTCGTGGCCATGCAAGTCTGAGTTGGTTTTTCGGTCTGGATTGCTGCGCGACGACTACCATGGTCGAGATTACCGCTTCAAGACGGCGAAGGGAGCCAGCGCAATGCTAAGGGACGCCGTTGAAGCCTACGAAAGTATTGATTTTCCCAAGTGTGGTGTTTCGCGGCGAATCTGTAACGTGACGGGTAGATCGGCAGAATCCAGGACCGGGGGCTCAGAGTGTCGTGTGCAGGCGGAGGTGGCAAAGCGCCGCGCGATTCCAAGCCAAGCTGCGTCAGGCACTTGACGTCTCACGCCGATCTCACAATCACGCCAATCCATCATCACACTTCGACGCCTTTCCTTCCCCCTCACCCACGACGGCGCACTGCTACCGACGGCAATTCGCACCTTCACCACGCCCCATCGCGTCGCTGCCCTGTCGCCAGCTCTGCCAGCCATCCGCCGCGGCACGTCAACGAGTGGTTACCGGCCCCCACTGATCCGTCCAGCGACTCCACTGGACGACTTCATCCCGGAACGAGCGCTGCTGCGCCCATCGCACCCGCCCTCGCCGAGTCGCAACCCCCATAGCACTCGATTATGCTGCCTCAAGAACCGCTGCAAGCGGGCTCGCCGCACACGACACTCTCCAGGTCCTACTACCCGACCGGCAATGCGCCCTTTGCGCATGCCACCATCCTTACCGGACAACCGGCCTCACAGCTCGATGACGTGCGGATATCAAGATACAACAACACTCTCGGCTCGACGGCCAAGGGCATCATGATAGGCATATTCTCCGTGCTGGGCGCTGCGGGCGTGTGTCTTATCATTGCGGCCATTGTTTACTACTTCCGCTACACCAACACAGGACGCATCTTCCTCGACCGGATAACGCGGCCGGGTGAATATGACGACGAGCAACAATTTGCCAAGGAGGAGGCCGAGGCGCTAGAGGATATGGACGACCTGCAAAGAACAGAGTACATGAGAGCGAAAGGTATGCCAGGCAGGTTATTGTGCAGGAAGGGCACCAGCTAACATCCACAGCTTTTGTGCAAGCAAACCCGCCCGAGTCCGTTCAAACCGACATATCACTATCGCAGTTCTTGGCTATACAAGAGAAGGGAGTGTCTGCCTGGGAATTTGAGCCCGAATTGGAGATTGCCAACTGCTTTGTCGAAGGCCGCACGGAAATTGAGTTCTTCGATTCGGAGTGCAGCGTCCAGAGCAACCTCCCGATACCGAAGCAGAACGAAGTCTACTACTGGGAAGCCAAGGTCTACGAGAAGCCCGAGAACACTAGCATTGCGATTGGCGTCACAACGAAGCCGTATCCGTTGTTCAGACTACCAGGTATGTCCACGACGACGCCCTACCTTTATCTCGTTTACTAACATTTATCAGGATACCACAAAGCCTCGATATCGTACATGTCCAACGGAAACCGCCGATACAACCAGCCCTTCCAACCCTCCGCTTACGGCCCATCTTACGTGCAAGGAGATGTCATTGGTGTTGGATACAGACCTCGAACAGGAACAATCTTCTTCACGCGAAACGGAAAGAAACTTGACGACGTCGCGCACGGTCTCAAGACACAGAACTTCTTCCCCACCGTAGGGGCAAATGGCCCTTGCCAGGTGCACGTAAACTTTGGCCAAATGGGCTTTGTCTTCATCGAAGCCAACGTCAAGAAATGGGGTCTAGCCCCCCAAACCGGCAGCCTCGCACCCCCACCTCCCTACGGCAGCGAACAAGGATCCATACTCCTCGACTCCGGTCGCGAAGGCATAAGAGAAGGCATGGGCGGAAGCTACATCCAAGCCGGCTTCGGCCACGGCCGCTCCAGTAGCCAGCAAATGCGTCTCGGACGCCAAGTGCCAACGAGTCCCGGTCCGCAACGCAGTCCGACCGACATCTCATTAGCCGCCCTTAGTCTGGTCGACTCTAACGAAGATGTCGGTGAAGGGGCGAGCCATGACGATCACGCGACAACCACAATCCCCGTAGACCAACGCCAGGGTCTTGGTCTTCTGTCACCAGGCGAACTCCCTCCTGAGTACAGTAGTCCTGTTGGCTCGCCCAACCTGCGCAACACGGCCGACCACGAAAGAAACGGATACTGGGACGAGCGAGCACCGCTTCTACAGAACCAGCAGCAGTCTGGCGAAAGAAGTCCGCCGGTTCCGAGCTATGATGCCGCGATGGCTGATACACCAGAGATACGGCGTCCTGCTATCAGAGTGAGGAGCGCGACGGAAGCTGGTGTGAGACCGCGTGGACCCCGCTAGATGAGCTGGAAGTCATTTTTTCTTTTGTGTTACTCTACGCTCCATTGTTTTGACGAATCTGAGAGGAAGATTGCGTCTTTTCACTATACCCTATCGCTCACCTTTTCCTTTTTTCCTATCTTTGTCGAGGCTGGATCCATCTCATTGCGAAGGATCATTATGGATCGAACGCACCGCTGTGGGAAATGTCTCCACGGACTGCATGGGTGGCAGCGAAACATATCTTTGAGCGGCCTGATCTGTTATGGCCCATACTACCTGGCGTTCTGGAAGCGAGCATTGTTACGTTTATTTTTGCTTGGTTTCTGGGTGGAGTCACGAATGATTAAGCACACGAATACTCCTGTTGCTGGCGTTTTATTGGATAGAATGGCTCGATGTGCGTTGAAGCGCGTTCAAATTGGATTGCGGCTGGCTTTGGCTACTCATGTGGTAGCTTTTGGATTGTAGTAGTAAAGCGATGAGTTGTTTGGATTGTCAATATACACGCTCTCCCACTTGCGAGAATTATCATCTTATTCCTTTTTTGTATCTACTCTGCTTGTTATCACTTCTAGCTATATACTTTTCATGGCTAACAGCAATTTAGTTGTTAACCAAACACGCGGTCTACGAATACAAATCGTCCTTCCCTTACTTTCAAATCGCACGAACATACAAATTCAGTCTCTATAGAGAACCGTGGTACTCTCCCAGGTTGCCATACTTGGCGTGCCAAAGTGAAGATCTAGCGCTCACTCAATTTATCGAAGAATTCCATCTTGGTTTTCGTATCCCAAGACGCACAAAACCCCATCACCGCCTTCGATACCTTCTACAGTCCAACCACAATGTCCAAGAACAATTCATAGGCGGACAGTCCATACCCATGGCGCAACCCCGCGATCATCTTCGAGGCGCTAACAAGATCACTTATCCTCGCCGATTTAAAACAATCCTGGCACTTCCAGCGAGAAGCCCAATTCCGCTGGATGCAAAAAGTGATTTGGACCTCGATTGACCGCTATCGTGTAGATCTTCGTGACGTTAAAGGCACCGTAGGCGACGTAGCAAAGGAACTGTGCAACAAACCCACGGCATTCTACTGGCTTCAGTCTGCACAAACAGGTGCGCCCCACGCCCCCGAGAAGACGTGCATGTCTGGCGGTGTCTTTGCCGCTATATACGAGGAATGGCGTCGAAGCTGTGTTAAGCTGGATATTGAGTTTGGCCATTTCTTCGCTGCGCCCGTGAGGGTTGCGGGGACGGGTCCGGACAGCCTACCGCAGATCTTGGAGGCGCATTTGTCGCTTTGTGCGCAAGCACAGCGTGTCTCGTTGGACATGGATAACTACCTCGTGCATCCGCTTCTTCCTGCCGTTATTCTCATATGCGACCGCCGTGACACAACCGCTAGATGCGGACCAGATGGCTTCGTTAGTCTACGCGAAGTAGCGAGGACACAGACCGTGCTGGTCATTCTTACCGGAGGAAATCGGACCAGCACCGGCATCCACATATCTCTAGATCCTCTCAAACTCTTCGCTCTGCCCATCGACAGAGATGATGTCACTGGCCTTGATATCCTGCGCGTACCCCTTGATATCGCCGTCAGATTTATCACTGAGTTGGAGGCCAGGATTGATGAGCGAGAGGGGATAAACAGTGCAACTTTAGACAAGAGTCTCTGTCTGCACTAAACACCCGTCGGATACAGTCGTGATATCAGGTTTTACCCAAATGTATGGGCGAGGATAATGCGGGCAGAGGCGATGAAGATTGGGTTTAAGAAGTTGGAGGTTACGAAATTTGCTGCTGTGCGCGTTTAGGCTCAGCTTTCTGGGGAAGAGTCGGGGTGTGAACTTGAACATGTGTCTTTTAGTCAGAGGTGGAAAGAATGAACTCACCTGCGTTCTTGGTTATTGCTTCTGAGTGGGATCGATGCACATGCTGGGAGCAAAGCTTGATGTGGGTTTATTGGCAGTGGCAGAAAAGCTGGTGCGTTTTTAAGCTGTAAGTCTACCTATCGCATCTCTACGAGCACGTCGCTCACATTCTTGTTCCACGTTTTAATGATTCTGTTATTCTGATGTTTGGGTGGAGGAGAGAGCAGAAGGAATGAACGAGGGAGAGAAGAAAGAAGCTACGTGTATGATGCACGAAGAAAGAGCTTCACGAACTGTCCCTACCTCTTGATGTTGTGTTTACCATCGGCTGGCTTTCCCATCTGTAGACCGCACCGTAACTTTCGCAAGATGTCAAACCCTCTCGAAGTCTACGACACCGCGATCACGAACGGAAAGCGGCTACGCAAAGAGCAGACCAGTTTTCGAGATCAGCCACGTTTGCCCGCCTCGCTTTCTTCGTGTGGCTACAATGTGAAGTCGTGGAGATTACGGTCCAACACCGAGAATTCTCTCAGAACAGTGTTGCAATCCTGCGGCATGATGATCAGTAATTCGACATATGTCGAAGTTCGCTCTGTGAGTAAAGAGGAGTGAAGAGGCGATGATAGTGGCGTTGTGCTGCCCAGTTGATTGCGTAGCAAAGATACGTCCAGTGCCAAAAGTATTCCATGTAAGCAACGACCGGTCAAGGTACCCAGGTAGCTACAAGACGCTCCACCACTGACATATCTTCAATGATGCAACCATGTCGCTTTCACGTGCAGGAAGTGGCTTGGTCGTTGCTGCCTCCCAGATGCGTGAGGCGGGGTTGCTCAGCCCCTCCGCAGTCGAGCTGACAGTGAGGCAGTGAGGCGCCACGAGCATCATCGATCCATACATCTGTCGCCATCCTCGCTCGACTTTTGCTGAATACATACCACTGTATCTCTCTTTTTGACTGCCGTTATCCTCCGTGTAGTCTTCACGCGACGTCACGTAATTGCGTCTCGTTTTACTGTTATCGTTGTCATCTCCCGGCTTTTGCTCAATAGCACGCGCCTGCATGTTTCATCGCCATGACCAGCATTGCCTTTTCCGGAAATGGAACTGAATACGGACCTTCTAATTTTGAGGTTAGCGGTTTCTATGGTCCAGGGGGATGGGCAGCTTGGTGCATCAGCCTTGTAGCATCTTGGGCGCCGAACCTGCTCGAGGACTACACGCACAACTTCCACGTCATCGCGTACGCGCTATACATGAATTGGGCAGCCCTGGATTCTTCCCGATTTCTGTTCTTGGGACGAAAGTTTGATGAACTGGCTTCTAAGAAGAAGAGGTTAGATCGGGAACACTTCATAAGTCTCACAAACGGGAATGATACATTGATCTTCCAAAGGCACTGGCCATCGGATTCGGACAATTATAGAGTATGGGAAGTGGACACAGTCCCAGCAACGAAGAATATCACGCATCAAATACTGGGAGCCGAAGTCGAACTCAGTAATATGACAGGAGCGTTCCCTGGACTATGGGACTATTACACAATTCCTACCACGACAGATCTCACGATCCAACTTAAAAAAGCCGAAATTAAACTCGCCTATACTACAGTCGTCCTCGATCAACAAGAGACATCACTCTGGAATCAATTGCATCAACTACAGGCAGCACTAGCAACTTTAAATGTTGGTATGCTACATTCGGGGACACAGCTGTTTGTCCGCTTGTCGTCGATCCATGAATATACTTCCACGGAGGCAGCCACATCATGCCGAAGGCGCAACTTGATCATAATGACGGGCCTCGTCCTTCCTTCGATCATACAAATCATCGATATGGTGTTGAATAATAGAGGTGTCAAAAATGGATGGTCGGGCCCTTTGGTATGGTCAACGGGAATGATAGGACTGACCACCTCTTGGTGTCTTGGATACAGTTACGCTATCGCTCCGCAACTACCTAGCCTGGGTACTGTAACCTGGTGGGCCGTTGCATCAATCTATGCACTCGCCATCGCAGGGTTTTACGGCCTCTACTTCTGCTCACTTTCATGCATGTATGTCGAGGGACCGAGATGCGGCTTTATGCCACACATGTCTTCTAAGATCACGGAGGTGGACCAGGCGTTCGCTTTGTTTGCTGCGCTTCTTTATCTTGTGTATGATTTCCGTTCATACTTTGTTAGGTTTTTCAAGCTTTTGAGGCTTCACTTTGAGAAGTTGGTTTTTGGGGCTGGTTCACATGACAACATATGGGCTGGTATGCCGTTCGGGCTGCCATATTGATGGAAGCGTGTCTGCAGATAGCAGCGATGTTTTTTAGCATATTGGGTTTAATACGTTACCTTTTCGTTCGTTCTACCGCGTTGTGTCCCCTCTGTGAGTTCTTCTGGAGGACTTTTGTACGTGAAGCTCTTCTCACTTCCAAGTACCCAAGGCACGTCTCACTCTTCGAACCAACCTTGCTTCGACAACGTCTGACCAGCGTCACTACTAGATCAGCTACATCATCTCTTCTCTTACCGCCGTTTTGAAGATCAGAGCATCCACTCACTACTCCCTGTCGAAGAAAAAGACACGAAAATGGCAGGATACACGCCCATCATCGGCAAGTCCGAAGAGCTTTCCACGTCAACGTGTCCCCGATAAGTTGGGCTATGAGAAAATGAAGCACATGCAGCCAATTGCCAACTTTGATTCCGACCGATATCTTCTCAGCACACAAGAAGTATAGCAGCACAAAGCAGAACCATACCTCCGCAGCACGTCCAAAAGCTGTTTCCCATGCTCTACAGAAGCTAGGAAGAAGTATACCAACTTTCGCACAGAAAGACACCACCACCCCACATCGACCACTTCTTCGGCCGAGACCTCAACAATCCCATCATCGCCCCAAACAATCAGCATGCATTTCGCGTATGCAGCTACATCCTTCGTACCAAAGAAAAACACCCCCCAAGAAAAGATCACAGCTGTATCCGTGAACCATCTACAAATATACACAAGCCCCCCACCAACCCAATCTCACATTCTCCAATCACCTTCCAGAACCCTTCTTCCGCACCAACCTCGTATTTCGGAGTTATAAAAAACGAGTTGAGCCCCTACCCACATTCCACATTCCACGTTCCACATTCCACTACCGACCAACCGTACTTTCAGCCTCACACATGCGCGTATGGTAGCGTGCGCGCTAATGGGACGTGCCGTGAATACGAGAATCTATGACGGTACCGAGTAAGAAGCCAGTGCAAAAGCTACGCGTCGCGTCCGAAGCGATCAACACCGCGTACGACACCCAGTCACGTTACCTAACGTAGTTCGCTCAACTCGCGAGGGATGTAAGACCGAGGGAGGCCGTGCTTATCCACTGTTTTCTAGGGTTGAGAAGGGTGGGGAAAGGCTTGTTGGGTTTGGGAGGTTTGTCGATGTACGATGTACGAATCAGGGCGCACATATTTGTACGCAGGGAAAAAGATCTTCAACAGCTATGTTTCACGCCTGCCACGCGTTGGATGCTAGGTGTTTTTTGCGCTGTTCGAGTTGGGATCGATATGTGTAGTAGTAGCGAAGGCAGCGGTGCCATGAGTGCGAATGCCGTGATGCCACGATACGCGTTGCACATCCAACTACACACGCTACGTGTCAGTGTACTCGCTGATCCTTTTGCAACCTCACCGTAATGTAACATCCTCACTACCGCGAATAGCAATACATAGTAACACAGCAGAGTCGCAATCGCAATCGCAGTCGCAGTCGCATCGCATGCACAGTACCAGCAGATCTACCATCCAGCGGGTCAACTCCCCCCGTCTTAGATATGCCCGCATCCAGCCTAGTCCCTCTCCCAAAACCCCAATTGGGGGGTTTGGAGACACAGAAAGCATACAAAGGTGAGGCTTAGCTCCACGACTAAACAGTTCCGACTAGTAGTCAGTTATCGGAGTGTGGGCTTGGGCGGTCGGAAGGAAGGAATGCGGGAATCGACTGATAATGACGATCGTGGGGTGCGACGACACGGCAATCAGTTCAGGCAAATGTGCGGGCGAAAAGGTGTGTGTAGTGTAGGAGATGTCTCCGAGAGCTGATGGTTGGAAGTCGACGTAGAGTTTAGGCAGTTGGGTGTTAGTTTTGCGAACTTATTTAGTTAGCAGCGTCGACGGTCGGCTTTCGCTTCCAAAGACTTTTTTGCGACCGCGGGCATGGCACCAGAAACGTGGCAATGCGACGCGGCGTTAGAAGAGCGCCAGAAACGCCAGAACCCATCGGATCGTGCTTGTCCGAGGTGTGTGAACCAGAGGAAAACAAACTTTGGCATCGTGGCATTCTCCGCGAACGAAAACGCGCCATGGCGATGGTTGAGCGCGACACAAGTCGGGGACAGGCCAGCCACACAGTCTAACGCAGCTCTGGGTACCCAGTCCGTGCCAGACGCGAGGCTACTCGTTTCTTCCTTCGTTCAGCCACCCCTTATGTACGCGCGGATCATATCGTCGAGGCTTCGGAACTTTCTCCAGCATTCGGCTTCATCACGCCTAGGTTCATGTACACACAGTACCATGATGTACCTACAGTCGACCGACCGACCCTCCGCCTCGGCTCGACATGACAATGACCACGCTGAGGCTCATACACCCACCCACCCATGCACGCTTGATCCCCAGAATAGAAATTATCAATGACCTGTTCGGTATTAGTAGGAATCGGGGGGTTGCTGCTGGGGCTGCTGCTGGGGCTGCACGGCTGTCAGACAGTAGAGATCTGCTTTCCTGCAGGTGCTGGTGCGTGAGCGCTGGCAGGGTGCCGCGAGCGCAG